AGAGAGAGAGAGAGAGAGAGAGAGAGAGAGAGAGAGAGAGAGAGAGATCCTGTTAAAAGTTGTGGGTTGGGTCTTTGAGGTGCCCTGAGGATCTCAGGGCATAGGGTACTTTGTGCCAGAGCTGATTGACCCAGGTTCAGGCTCTGGAACTACATAGGAGAAAAAGAAAACCTGACTCCGGAAAGTTGTCCTTTGACCCCCCCCCCCCCATAGCTGTGCCATGGCACACTTGGGCTCATACACACACACGCACACATACACACACACCTAAAAATTACTAAGTAGGTAATGCCATGCAGTAGTGCTCATCCACATTCATGTAGATTTCCGGAGCGTGCATTTGATTGGAAAATTTTAGTAATTCTGAAACCCAGCTATTTAATTTTCATATTAGAAGTGATTTAATTTTGCCTATAGAAAGGCAGCGGAGCTAAGCATCCTAAATAGCGTATTTCCGAACACTGAATGTGCTTGAAAGGCGGCTTGCGTTATGGATGTCTGTTGTTGATACTAGAGACTGTGATTACTTATAAATCTGAAAGACCAGTTATGTGTTTTTTTTTGAGATCATTTCTTGTTTTTTATTGCATCATGCGTTCTCTGTGCACCTGTGTGGCGCTCGTGCCCCAGCATGCGTACGGAGGTCAGAGGACAACTTCAGGGGGCTGGTTTTCTCCTCCCGTTGTGTGGACCCTGGCGGGTTTGAAAGCAAGCGCGTTTACTTGCTGGGCCATCTCAGCGGCCCCACTGTATTTTGTTGTTGTTTTAATTTCTGCTTGGGGAGAATTATTTTAGGCGGATTTAAAGATTTCTGAAGAGCAAAAGTTTCAGAGAGAAGGATTTTCCTGAGACTCTGTTATAATTAAGAATATTTTAATACTACTTATCCACAGTGCAGAAAAGAGTGGCTAAGGTACAAGATGACGAACTATGGTACAAGAGTGGATTTATCTGTATGCCTGCCTGCCTCCTTCCCTCCCTCATTTTCTTCCTTCCTTCCCTACTTCCTCCCTTCTTCCCTCCTTCTCTCCCTCCCTCCCTCTCTTTCTTCCTTCGTTTCTTTGAGACAGATTCTTTCTATGTAGCTTTAGCTGGTCTGGAACTCATTATGTAGATCAGGCTGGCCTTGAACTGAAAAAAACCTCACCTGCCTGTGCA